TGTGCGGGAGGGCCCCGCGGCCTCAACGACCGCGGGGGAGAATCGTTGGATGGCGGCGACCGAGCGGCTGGTGCCTTGAGTTTCTTTCCTTAACGAAATTCCCTCCAAGCCCCGCTTGCCCGCCTTTATCCGCCGGGTTGGGAACCAGCGGTTCTTCTTCCTGCCTCCCAGATCCTTTTTTTTTTTTTTCTCCTTAATTAAAGGTTTTTTTCAGTCGTTCTTTGCAGCTTTTCTGCTGCGGATTCACGTTCGTTCTCTCTTCCTCCTGGAGGGAAAGGAAAATTAACTCAAGGGTACCGCGGGGCCCGTGTCTTGAGCTAAAGGCAACAAAAACGGTTTCAGGGAAGGGTTTTGTTGGTTCAGAGCCCAACGTTTGACTTTGAGCTCCCCCAAAAATGCAGCCGATGGGTATCATCATAGACTCATAGACTGGTTTGGGTTGGAAGGGACCTTAGGGATCATCTAGTTCCAACCCCCCTGCATGGGCAGGGACACCTCCCACCAGACAAGGTTGCTCCCAGCTCCATCCAACCTGCCCAGGGAAGGCACATCCCCACCTTGCCTATCCCACACTGACTGTTAAATCCACAAATGATTTATAGGACTGCTGGTTTTTAAAGTCACCGTTTTACTTTCTGCAGGAAAACCATTCTCCTGAGCCATGCAGGAACGTCCTGAGAACCCCACTGAAACAAGCAGCTACCTCACACTCGGTGCTGACTGAGATCCAGCCTGACTGTCAGCCTCTCACCACACCCCCAAAGCCTAAAGAAACCCTTCCAGCAGATCCATGGACACCTACTTCCAACCTGAAAATGCTGATTAGTGCAGCTAGTCCTGAGATTAGGAGCAGAGAACAGAGAAGGGAGCTGTCAAACAACACGAGTGAGGTCCTACAGGCAAAACACTGTTTGCAGGTATATTGTAAAGGGGTCTTCTGTATTTACTTTATTAAGTTAGCTGAAGGCTGTTTACTCAGTATAAAAAAGTTATACATTAACACACCACAATGGTTTTAAAAGTTTGGAGTGTTTACCAACTATAAGTAAGGATATTTCCTATTTACATAAACCAAGTAAAGGTTTTTCTGGGTTTATTTCACAACAGTGGAGGACAAAGGGAGATCATGGGGCCTTTGACAGTGCTCACAGTGAAGCTGTTAAATCTCTCGTTTACATATTTATGGTAAAAAATGCCAACTTCTCCATCTCTTACTTCCCTGTAGGAGCACTTATCAGGAGATGAATATGAAAGATCTCAACCGAGTCGCAAGGAGAAAAGTCTAGGATTGCTGTGTCATAAATTCTTAGCTCGATACCCTGACTACCCCAGCACTGCAGAGAGTAATTACATTTCCCTTGATGAAGTAGCTGAAGAGCTTAGTAAGTTGGTGTTTATGCTATTACATCTTTCCACGTACCAATGTGCCAGTAACCTGCCATTTGTGTTGGCACATCTGTGCTCTGTAAAAGTTTGAATGCTTCCTGCATACTCTCAATATGGGTTTAAACCAGCTTTAAACTCTTCATTCTTGGAGCAATTCTTCTAAAAAGCTGAGGTTTCTTCAGTGAACTGGATTAAGAAACTCAGAATTATGTGTAATATTAAGCATCTCAATGCTTATACCACAAATAACCAGTTGCTAAGAGTAGTGGTTGGATTTTTGAAGCAGGAACGAAGAGTTTCTCAAGCTGAGCCCCCAGCTTCTTGTCCAATTGTGACATCAAAGCAAGAAACTACTTTCTGCTTTTTAACTTTATCATTTTATATCACTATCCTTATATCACACCAGTGATCTACCAAGAGCCTGAGTTGCTAACGTTAAGCTGAAGGTGTTTTTTTTTATCAAGGAGCTATGACATGACAGAATTCTACAGATTATAACACTGATAATAGTTATAAATCTTACTGCTCAAAATGTCTTCAGAATTTTTTGAGGTCACAGAAGAGGGATGAATTTCAAATTAAACAAAATGTCTTATTTTAGTTATACTTTGTACCAAATAACACCTCCTTTAAAAAATGCCTAGTCATACCCAAGAATTTACAGATGAAAGAGAACAGTGTGTTCATAGAAAAAAATACAAAAAACAGTTACAAAACTGTTGTCTACCATGAATTTCCAAGGATATTTAATGAGATGATGTAAAATCCATGCAACAAATAATTAAAAATGCTTTGTTTTTTTTTTAAAGCTGTATTGAAACCCATCTAATGGCTCTTCTGGCAACAGTAAGTTTTATTTCTTAAGGAATGCTGTAAAACAAGGATAACTGGGAAAAAGCAAGTCCTTCCATATCAAAAGCAAGAATTGTTTTCCCCTCCTTGCTGGCAAGATCTACAAGGGCTATTTTCAGAAACCTCTGTATGAGAAATTGTCAAAAATGTCTTAGAAGTATATTAAGAGGAGGGGGAAGCAAAGGAAACTGATCCCTTTGTGCAAACAGTCTTTCAGGTAAATGTGACAAAACGTTTTGTGTAGTGGAGTATCTCATGGTTGTGTGTGGGTTTTTCTTCCAGATGTGGAACGTAGACGTATCTATGACATTGTGAATGTGCTGGAGAGCCTGCACATGGTGAGCCGCCTGGCCAAGAACAGATATGCTTGGCATGGGAGACACAACCTCTACAAAACCCTGCAGGCTTTGAAAAAAGTTGGAGAGGAGAACAAATACACGCAACAAATTCAGATGATCAAGAAGAGGGAGTACGAGCACGAGTTTGATCTCGACGGGGAAAGGAATGAAGAAGTGGCAAGAACTTTGGGCTCGAGTGAGAATTCAGAAATGTCTTTTGTCGAGCTCCCAGGAATGGAATTTCGTGCTGGTAATAATTCTCTGTCATGCCCAGAATAATATGGCTTTGTAATGATAAATATCTATGAATTTGGGAAAAAAAACAAATTGGACTTTTTATTTTTTTTTCCTGAAATGGTGCTGCCTGAAAAGCACCACAGCTGTTTGTGGGGAGGGTAAGTGCTCTGCACTCTCTCAGTTCTCTTACCTGTTCAGGTGTTACACAGGCATTTTGTTTTTATAGTGCAAGAACAAGTAGGCATCAGGTGAAACCATCAGACATGCCCAACATACAATTGCAGGATTTGTTACTATTGAATACTGTAAAGCCAGAAGTGTATTGATTACTCCATTCATCTATTTTTAAAATTTTCACTTGATTCATGGAAAAATGTTAATTAGGGATTGTTTAAATACATTGTATAAGCTGCAGTTAAGCATCTTTAAAAGAGTACAAGTTGTCAAACAATAGGAGATGTACACAAGGGAAAACGTTGCACTCTCTCTTGTAGTTAGCCTTAGTATCCACCTAATTATCTGATTCTTGCCATGTAGAGACATGATCTGGAGTCCACATCAGCCCTGCCTAGCTGCTCTGTTGTTTGCTCTTAAAATAATTGTTGCTGACAAATTTCTTCAGTGTTTTATAAACGTTTGGAGCTGGTGTGTCACTTAATCCTTTCATCCTTTCTCCTGCTGCTGCAGCATCAGTAAATAGCAGGAAAGACAAGTCTTTGCGAGTGATGAGCCAGAAATTTGTGATGCTGTTTCTTGTATCAACTCCTCAAATAGTAAGCCTTGAAGTTGCTGCTAAAATCTTGATTGGAGAAGACCAACTAGAAGACTTGGATAAAAGCAAGTTTAAAAGTAAGTAAAAGGCTGCTGGTAGTGTCTGCTTTTTGATCTCGTTCTAAATAGAAATATCTGAATTGACTGTTATTGTACAGGTTTATATGGTGTAAAATATAATCTTTTTCCTGCCACAAATAGATTTGAACGTCTAGAAACTCACTAAACACCTTGCTCAGTTTTTAATAGGGACCCACTTGTGCATAGTCATTGCTACCTAATGACCACATGAAAGAAAAAGCCCATTAAATCTTCTCTTCTGAGTAATGCCACAAGGCTACTTATGGGCAACAATTTATCTTTCCTCAAATCAAGCCTTTCAAAGATTTCAGTATCGTTTTATCAAAGATGCCCCAGAATCATGCAAATCTGTGTTCTGGTTATAGAACTTACTCGTTTGAAATCTAAAGAAATTCTGTAAAAGTCTTGTTAACAACTTACACACGAGAGGAAGCGAAACCCAGTGCTATAACTGCCACTTATTTCTTCATTCTTTTGCCCTGATCTCAGTTCCTTGCACACTTCCTCCTCTTCTTCTCCTATCAAATGAAAAGGTCCTTCTAGGTCTAGGCCTGTATATCCGTAATAATAAAAAATGTGCCTGCTCTTGAGGCATCAGGAATTAATTGTGGGTTTCATTGTGATGTTATTTCATAGCATAAATACCTGTTCCTCAGAATTGATCTTCTAAGTAAATGATAAAGGGTTTTCCTTGTTGTGTTGTAACATTTTTAACCTGATATATATTGATTAATCTATTGGATTTTCTATACTTAACATTTCTATTTATTTTCTTTCAGCCAAAATTAGGAGACTTTATGACATAGCAAATGTTCTCAGTAGCCTTGAGCTTATCAAGAAAGTTCACGTCACAGAAGAGAGAGGCAGAAAACCAGCATTCAAGTGGACAGGACCTGAGGTCTTGCCAAATATTCAGGGTAGGTGACTGTGCCATTTCCTTTTGTTCTGCTGATGATTTTGATTATTTGTTTGTTTTCTTGGGGAGAATTTTTTTGACCAAGGCAGAGGAAACTATGCAGGAAGTCTACTACTTACATCACATGCCTTGACAGCCCAGCACACCAGCATGTCACAGAGTAGATGCACTGAGACTCTGGCATTTCCATTTCTGCTGCTGCTAGGACTTAAATAATCGTAAGCTAGGCTCAAGTAACAGCTTTTCATTACTGAATGTGCATGTGATACCTATTTACTCTGGTTTTTTTCTGCTTTTTAGGTACAAAACTTGAAGCAACTTCTACAACCTGTCCCCCAGCTATTTCAGAATCCATCATTTCCAAAGAGCAGTGTTCAAAAAACCTTTTTCCTTCAAAAGGAAAGCAAAACTTCACCAGGCATCCTTCCCTAATAAAGTTAGTTAAAAGTATAGAAAATGACAGAAGAAAGATCCAATCTGCTCCAACCAGTCCAGTTAAAATAAGTGCAAGTAAGTAGCTGAAACATATATTTCTGTATCTTTTTCTAAGAATATTTTTGACTCAGATAGAATCTGGCATTAAATATTCAGACTTACCACCTCCTCAAAGGAGATGTGGATGTCTGGATATGTCTTCTTACAACAACGTTTTAAGAATTATCCAAAATATACAACAAGGTGGGGAAAATACATGTTCCCTTTAAATCTAAGGTCTGACAAGATTGATAGTGAAAGCAAAGCTAAACTGATCAGTGCTCAGTGTGTAAGCTCTGCAATGAGTAGAAGCTCTTTTCAGCTTGTTGGACCAAAGGCAGTCGCAGCTTGCACAGTTGGAAAAAAATAGATACATATATTGAGATCTGGACCAATTTAAGCACCATGGGGGGAACTCCAGCCTCCTCTTTCACACTGAATACACAGGAAGTGGTACATTGCATATTTTTGGTTTAGGAAGAATATTAAATCCCTTTTTAAACCCCCCTGTCTTGAATTTGTGTGATGTCTTACTGACTACAAATTCCTGTTTATGCAGTATAGTTGATTCTCTGGATATTCTATCTTTTGCTTTGAACTACTGTAACCCTTGTTTGTTGTGGGAACTGCTTTCAGTCTCACTATTTAAGCAGTTCTGTATTCCATAAAATTGCCAGAAAATCACCTATAAGTGTTCATGTTCTTGTTAGGTATCCTCTTCAGAGGGAAAAAAAATGGAGCTGAGGCTTAATTACTTGTTTGCCAGAAGATACCATCCAATTGATCAAATCCAGTCAGGGCTGCAGTTTGAGAATAACAAGATTTAGTGTCTGCTTTTCCAATGTGTGTGCCAGAAGAAGTAATGCAGTTTCCCCAAGGCAAAATTTAACTTCAGTTTTGTTTTGTTCTCTTCTTCCAACCAGGTACTGATCAAAATTTATCAGCTTTCCCAAGTAAAATGGCTCAGGTTCCAGCAATCACTAAACATCAGCTGGAAGGACAATTAAAGTAAGTTTGCACAAGCACAAAGGTGAGAAGCTTTCTTTTGTCCCTGGCCATGAAGTTTGAGTTGGGCAACAGTCTGCAGAACCTGGGAACCCCTGATACTGCAGGCTGGGTTTTTTCACTTACTGTTTTCTGTTCAGTGGATTGAGAAGGACAAGTTCATGTTGAGTCTTTGTATTGCAGAAAATTACTTGACAGGGCATGGATTTCTGTGTAAAGGTATTACAATAGATTAAAATACTGATTCTTTTTTTGTTGACTTGTTTTTAAGGAAAGCAAAAGAGATGAAAATGAAATTGTCAGAATCTTCTTTGGAATGCAATTTGTCCTCACCGGAGGTAGTTCCCAAGCCCGAACCTCTTGGCAGCTCAGCACCCTCTCAGCAGCCACTCAGTGTCTGTCCTCCGAGCCACAGTTCAGTCTCACCAGTGATTCTACCTCATACTCACTCTGGTGTTTCATATGCAATCTATCTGCACCCTTCCCAAGCCCACACTGTGACAACATACAGCCCAAGTTTTATGTTGCAGCCTCTACCGTGTGCAAATATAACTGGAATTAAGAGCATCAATTCAAAAGTACTAAATAAAATAACCACTGAGGAAGGGGACAATCAGATAGCAACAGATGATCCAACAAAGTCCTTGGCAGCTAAAGGCAGACCAACTATAAAAGCAGAAACTTCATCACAGCAGTGCCTTAAAAGATCACAAGCATTACAAGAGGATAATTTAATTAAAAGGTATAGAAGTGACAAGGAAAGCCTTGATACGTTTCTGGTAAGTTGAATTAATTTTATCATGCCATTTTAAATGTTAATGATGTTGTCACCTACTTATTTTCAAAGTGTATTAGGAGCCTGCCAGTATGTGTAGGCATTTTAAATAAGACCATACTTGAAGGGATGATGTTCATTTGTTGTGCTTGCTGATGTTTGAGGGGCTGGTTTTTGTTTGCTTACACACACACGTGTATATAAATATCACATAATCCTGCTGGCATTTGCAAAGCATCAGGCAGAATATATAGTAGGCAACATACCACATGGCTTTGAAAGGCCACCGAAGTCTCTGAACAGGGAATGTCCCAAAATTACCTTCTAAACTTTTCTATCCATTGTTGTACACTGGTAATGCTGCCTTGTTGTAGGCATAATAATACAGCACATGGAGAGATTATGAGGTTCAGATACACTTGATGCATGTAGAGAAACTGGCTCTGGATGGCTTTCTACTCCTCTGTTGCTGAATGTTTTAGTGTCTCTGTAAATTATTAGGCCTCTTTAGATTGTGATTGCCAAAACAGTTGTGCTTATCAGCAAGTTTGGACAACACGTGGTGTCAAACATCCACTAGCTGGGGAGGAGCAAGAGGGGATAACATGGAACTGGTTGTCTTACTGAATCAAAATGTTTATAGCACAAACTTGGGAATCAGGAGAAAGGACAAAGCTTGCTTTCCTGAATTTTAAGACATAGAAGTATCATTGTAGGCCTGTAATTGAGAATGTTAAGTCTCACCATGTCTGCCTTTGGTTTTGTATGGATTTTTTTTTTAAAGGGAGAATCAATTAAAAATGAAAGACCTCCTGCCAGTAGCTCACAAGAGAATCACAAAATGGACAACTGTCAGGAAGAGAGGCAGAACAAAACCAAAACATTACATCAAAACACAGCAAGTTGCTATGACCAAGGTAAAAGAGAAGATATTCCAGAAGATGAGGACAAACTCAAAACTAAGCAAGACAGCCCTGTAGCATTTGCCATTCCT